GTGTGTGTGTGTGTGTGTGTGTGTGTGTGTGTGTGTGTGTGTGGCGGTGGGAGGAAAGATGCCACAGTACAACTGTGACAATTAAAGGACAACTTGGGGGAGTCAGTTCTTTTCCACTATGTGCATCCCAGGGATTGAACTCAGGTTCAATCCTGCTCTGAGGCAGGTACCTTTACTGCTGATCCATCTCACCTCCCATGTATATATTCTTTTCTAAGATTTATTTTACTTTATGTGTATAAGTGTTTCACCTGCTTATATGTATGTGAACCACATCTGTGCCTCAGAGGCCAGAAGAGGGCATCAGATCCCCTGGAACTGGAGTTACAGGTGGTTGTGAGTCACCATGCGGGTGCTGGGAACTAAAAACAGCCAGTGTTCGCTCTTAACCACTGAGTCACCTCTCCAGTCCCTCAAGTAAATATTCTTGTGTGTATGTGTGTGTGTGTTTGTGTGTGTCTATATATAACATGTATATTATATATTGTTTTTAAATTTAAAAAACTAATTTAAAACATTAATATTTGGGGAATTTGGATGGAGGCAGCCAGAAATTCTCAGTTTTATCATCATACCTTTCTAAATCAGGGACACTATCAAAATAACATGATTTATATTCTAACATAATTATTATATATGATTTTTATATATTATAGCATCATTTTAATTACAAATATAAAAACATTTGTAAGGTATTTAAAGTTGTTAAAACATACATAACCAAAAATTCAGACAGTAAAAGAGGGTATACAGTGAAATGCAAGGCTTCCTCTCCCCATGCTGCCTGACTCCCCAGTGCTCTTTCCCAAAGGCAATGGCTCTGAGCCAGCTTCTTTTTTACTTTCTCAGGGATGATCTATATAAAATGCACATCCATGGTATACTGCACCATGCCTTTTCACTCAAATATAACTGGGAGGTTCATTCCACGCCTATAAATATTAACTGTTAGTAGTACAGTAACCATTTCTTAAATTTGATAATTGTTAGACAGGGGTCTTGGTTAAATCGTAACATTTTTTTCTAAGAATAACCCAAAATATTTATGCAGATGTTGAATTGCATTTAAAAGAACAGAGGGCCAGGAAGATGGCTTAGCAGGTAAAAGCTCTTGCTGTGCAAGCCTGATGTGATGACCTGAGTTTGATCCCCAAAACCCACAGTAGAAGGCGAGAACAAACTCCAAAAGTTGTCCTCTGACCTCAACACATGCACTATGGCACACACACACACACCTCCACTCACATACATGCATCCCACACACAAATAAATGAAATAGCAAAGACCTATAGACAACCTAAAGATCCACTAATAGAAAAATAGACTCGGGCATATTTATTTAATGACCCTTTATGCCACCCCTAGAGACACTGACGAGGTAGGTTAGGAAAGAAAGAATGCTACTTTTGATATCAGGCTAACAAGAAGAAACACCTCAAAATTAATCTGACATTCCAAGAATAAGGTTATCAAAAGAATAGGGGCTGGAGAGATGGCTCAGTGGTTAAGAGCACTAACTACTCTTGCAGAGGACTTGGGTTCAATTCTAGCACCCACATGGCAGCTATGAACCGTCCTTAACTCCAGTTCCAGGGGAATCCGAAGCCCTTTTCTGACCTCCGCAGTATCACACGACACAGGTGCACTCACATACATGCAGGCAATACACTCATACACGTAAAATAAAAATAATAAATAAAATATTTTTATTTTTTGAGCACTGGTTGTTCTTGCAGAAGACCCAGGTTCGAATCCCAGCACTCACAAGACAGCTAACAACTGTCTGTAACTCCTTTGTCGGGGCTGGAGAGATGGCTCAGTGGTTAAGAGCACTAACTACTCTTGCAGAGGACTTGGGTTCAATTCTAGCACCCACATGGCAGCTATGAACCGTCCTTAACTCCAGTTCCAGGGGAATCCGAAGCCCTTTTCTGACCTCCGCAGTATCA